TCAGCAGCTAGCCAAGGAAGCACAGGTCCCATTTTCGCCAAGTTCCTGAGGTGACAGCTGAAGACTTTTTAAGTTACAAAAAGCGGCCCAGGTGTCTAAGGGAAAATCAGCCTCTAGAAGTATTTCAAAGTTGCAGACATAGGCTCTTACAGAGGGACCAAAAGATGTGCCACTGGAAAAAGTCTCCCAGACGGCTCCAAAACCCTTTTTGTTTGCCATATCCAAGCAACTCATAACATTGACCTCAACCCCAGAATTTTCTTAAGAATCCAAGATGACTGAATTAAGGAAGAGCGACAAGTATTACCTTGAGCTTCAAGTCACATGAAGTATCTATGGGCGTGCATTAAAATTTATGAATCGGAGTTCAAACAAACATTTGCTAAATAACAGCCTTTCCCTAACCTGTTGGCTTCCCAGGAATGAACAATCATCTGACAGGTCCACAGCCATCATCTGCGTGCAAAAAAATGTCGCAGCTATTTAATTTCCCCGGAATGCCACCATAACCCTGTGCGTTGCCGATGTAACAGCATCCTGCACAGACTGCTGGTATTTAATGCATCCTTTAGGCTAAGGAACGTTCATGGATAGTGCATCCCGGACTACACTGATTTCTGCTTCGTGGATAGAGACAAATGCTCTAGACAAGCCAGCAAGGTATCCCTGGAGCTGCAGCCATCGACAACGTAGCAGAGTAATTTTTCTTAAAACACCCCACAGCTCTTCATTAAGGAAGATTCTCATTGTGCAAAGAAAAGGAAAAACAACAAAAAGAGGGAAAAAAAAAACCCCAACCAAGGGAGAGCTAGCGTGACCACTAATACTTTTCCTTCACGCATCTGGCAGTTATTGGAGACAGTTGCTGGAAATTCACATTTTTAATCCTGCTTGTAAAGTACAACTACATTCAGATGAAAGTGACAAGGAACAACAAATTTATGCAAGTTAGCAGTAAATTTCTATCTAAACTAAAAGTTCTTCCTTCTCACAAAGCTCATTTGATGTTTTTAGGTCGCAATTTACGAAGTCTGCCTAAAACTTGTTTTTGAACAAGTTTTCATATTCCCGAAGCACAGGATACTTACTACAGAAGTAGGACAGTACCCGTAACAAACTCAGAAATCCCAGATACTGAATTCCCAACAACTTTAAAGGACAATAAATACTAAACTGAACTTTTGAAAGTGCTGAGCACACAGAAGTCCTGTGAAGATCAAATCTTCTGAAAACCACGTTACATTTTAAAATGGTAAACAGATAAAATTTCTGCTGAGAGAAAACTCTGCTGGTGCAAAACACACTGCTACAAATACAGGCGAGTTATAATCAAGGACAGACAATACTTTCCGTACACAGAAAGCAAAACCAATCACTGACACTGAAAGTATTACCCAAACCACACACTTCACAGATCTCATATAATTTGTCGGTTTGATCATGTCAAGATTTTAACCTAGGCTCAAGGTTTTCAGCTTTTCCAGGCTAAAGCACAGGCCACAGTTTTACCAATGCCAGGCCCGCACAAAGGCCAGTCCTCAAGGCACCATTTTTCCCAGGGAATTAAAGTGAAAAACAGATCTGATTTAAAACTAATTGGGGAGGGGGGAAAAAAGGGTTAAAAGTTAGTTTTATGACAAATCCATTGACTGATCCAGTTCACCTTCCAAATCCATAAATGCCGTGTCAGCCCAAGCGCAGGGGCTGGGGATGACCCCACGGGGTGGGACAAGGACAGGCTGCTCCTTCTGGCAACAGCAGCACTCTACAGCAATCCTGAAGCTACGCTTAACAAGGCTTGATCTTCTTTGCAGCACATATTGTTATAATGAATAAACAGTCTCTGGACTCACCCAGAAATTGGTCCATCTTCCTGCTTACCAGTGGTGTCATCTGCAAAAAGTAATAACAACAGAAAATTATCCAAGTGAAAGAAAAAAATGCTACATTTACGCACAAAATGCGTCACAGCTACAGACCTACCTAGTAGTGCCAAGGCACTGTAACCCCAATGTTCTCTTTTCAACAAAGTTCAACTAGAAATGGAGTAACTAAAAAAAAAAAAACCAAACCACCAACCAAAACCCAACAAACAAAACCTATCTGCAGAAGTGAAGCCTCACACCACTGACACAGAACAAAATTCAAAATACATATCCAAACTCTCAGACCAGGAGTAAAGGCAAACATCACATAAGGAACTGGAGGCAGCTGTGAAGGTCTTTATACAGACTCTTAACATGCCAGGGAAGGAGAAATCCATGAAGTATTCAGTTGGAAAGTCTACGAGGAGGACGAAGACGTTTAAACAGAGTCCTACGCTTTTTTTTCTAGACACCCCCCCAGTCCCCCGTTAGCCCAGGGGTTCACCTGCATCAATCAGGTTAGTAAGGTCTGGATGATTAGGAAACTGAAATTACAACAAAGCATCACGTTAACGTCTCGGCATCCCGGCGTTACTGTTAAAGGACGATAACCCACCCCCGCGCCCCCTAAAATAACGCGCGGCCACAGCGCCTGTGCCCGCCCGG